AGTGATGTAAATCCAATGTAAGAAACCATGTTGCCTCAGGAGAGGTGTACACTCTCAGTGTTATTGTTCTTTCTTTTCTACAAATCATATTGTAAGTCTATAGTAAGTTTTCTGATAAAGGCAAGTAACTGACATACCCCCAACTCATCAAACTCCAGAAATGCTTCATGGCTGCTGGTGACAGAGTCAATCTGGTCTGCTTCTCGATGAAACAGCTGCAAGAGAAACAGAATACATCATTGTATATTCAACTTCTTTAACTACTGCCCCACTGACACATAAGGCCATCTTGAATGACCCTAAAAATATTCTGAACTCCAAAATTAACTTGAAAAAAAAAGAGCTTCAGGAAACTATGTGACCATATTCAATTTCTTCCTAGCCTCTAACTACATCTGCCCTCTTACTAAACCTTTATTTTTCACATTAGATACTATAGAATAATCTAATGTAGCTTAATGAAAGTACCTGCAGTTCTTGTGAGTCGTGCAGCTGTTCATCCCTGCTGTTCCAGGCTGCCTGCAGGTTCTGCTGTTCCTGTTTCAGCAGCTCCACCTTCCTGCGCAGGTCCCGGTTGGTCGGAGCCTTCCTCAGCAGCCGCTCGCCCAGACGCTGCAGCTCTTTAAAACTGGGAAAATTAGAAAGATACAAAGTCATGGACAAAAGAGTTAAGGGGTGACCAAATAACTCTTACAGGTCAATCTGAGACGACAATAAATGATGATTTGTTGAAGATGCATGAAAACATGGTGCCTACAGTACCTGTCCTGGTGAGCTGCGATGTCGTCCTTCAGTTCCTGGTGTTGCTTGATCAGCTCCTCTGCATGCAGCACGTCTCTGGCCAGCTCCTCACTCTTCAGCTGCTCTTTCACTGAGCTCAACCATGACATCTGACATAAGGGGGAAAACAAATGTTGGGTCTATATATTTTGATGTGAGACACAAAATTGTACAAGGTTCTTTATTGTAATTTGAACATCAAGAACCAAGAGACTAATCAGAGACTCACCAGGTCCTTATTCTCCTCCTGAAACCTCTGTGTGTCATGTGACTGTGCCAGCTGGGCCTTCCTCAGGCTTGCCTTGTCCTAAAAGCAAAAAGTTGAAGACAAACCCATTCCATACTTTTCTAATAGTCTGACTTTCATTAACCAATGATTCACCTCGGCACACTCAACCAATCCTTTTACTTATATATATGCCTACTCCAGGGAACCATGACACTACATTATCTGATTATAGTCATTGTGCTACAATAGAATTAGGCATGACTGTTGATAGGATAATGAAATAAATGAAATGATTAAGGCTCCATGGAGTAGACATATGACGGCTGCTTGAAAGGATAATCTTATTATCACTGATGTCAAAAGTTCAAATTCCCTGAGCAACTGAATTGCATTTAAAGGCCTGCAGTTGACAATTATCTGACAAATATACCATGGAAAAACTCTGACCAACCTTCAACTGTTGCCACATGTTCAGAATCCTTTCCTCCTTGAGAGCGATCGGTGCATTCTCACTTGGGTGAGCTGTCTTCACACTGTATGATTACAGACATGTCAGAAGCTTAGGGTTATCATGATGGCAAGTCACATCTAGCCCTACAATTGTATCACCATGATCTAAAGAAAATATCATAACATTTACATTTCTAAGTAAATAGGTTAATTCTACTAGGCAAATAGTGTTTTTCAGAGGTCATGGCACTGCTGATAAACTATTCCATGTAATAAAAGCTTTTCCTGGAAGACCTTACATAGTAACATCTTTAAACAGTGACTTACGCAGTTGCTAACAGCTGAAGTTTGGAGATCTTGTCTTCCACAGGTCCCAGTTCTCTCTCAAGGTTCTGCAAAGAAAACACGGTAAAAAACTGCAAACTGACTAAAAAATACAAAAGTTACAAATGCACATTTGTACATCTGTGTCCATTCTGATCACCCCCGTCACCCCTATGGACCAGTCCTTACCTGATGCTGCCTCTGTAGTGCCTTCACTCCTTTGACACTGTTCCCCAGGTCATCGTTGGACAGGGCTGCAAACTTCTCCTGCATCCACTCCTTAGTGTCGTCACATGTTCGCTCAAACAGCTCAATACTGACAAAGAGATAGATTTTTCATTTCTTTACAGTGTAAAACATACACAAATGTGCATTCAACACTCAAGACTTATTTCCTGTCACAGAAAATCAAGACTGAAATCAAATGAAAGCATTTCAGCACCAAGGAGAGACACATCCTACATATATAACTAAGCAAAAACATATTTTAGAGAATGTGTATGAAACCAAAACCTCATAAATAGGAATTCTACAGGACTGTACTAAAATGAAAGCATTTCAGCACCAAGGAGAGACACATCCTACATATATAACTAAGCAAAAACGTATTTTAGAGAATGTGTATTAAACCAAAACCTCATAAATATGAATTCTACAGGACTGTACTAAAATGAAAGCATTTCAGCACCAAGGAGAGACACATCCTACATATATAACTAAGCAAAAACATATTTTAGAGAATGTGTATGAAACCAAAACCTCATAAATAGGAATTCTACAGGACTGTACTAAAATGAAAGCATTTCAGCACCAAGGAGAGACACAGTCTATGTATATAACTTTCCTACCTTGATGCTCCCTCAAGAAGTTTCTCTTTGTCTCTCTGAAGCTGATGAAGTCTCTCCCATCTGAAAGGAGATAACAGGTTTTACAGACTGTTACAGTAACCTTAACTTCTAGAAAAAATGTCATATTTCAGAACAGAACAGGTAAAACAATTCGTGTATAATGCAACATTGTACATTTAACTTAATACTTCTCTTTCATCTCTTTTTGTAATAAACAAATTACAAATCATAAAGTGTTGCTACCTTTCCTTCAGCTCCTTCTGCCTGGCCCTGACAGGTTTCTGCTGACTGTGTCCAGTCTTCACAAACTCATCAGCCAGCTGGTCAATCTTCTTCATCCTGCCGGTGTTGGCAGCCAGTGCTGTCATCAGGTTCTGAGGAATGGGAAAAGTTTTTTTTTTAAATATGCAGCTTGCACTAGCAAGCTAAGCAAAAAAAAATGAAAAGTCTTTTTCAAAAAGGTTGGGTTAGCACATATATAGCTGGGATGCCCCTTAAAGGACGACATTTATTTTGAGAGTTAGTTACCTCAAATTTTCTTTTCATGGCCTCGACGTTGTCCTTCATACTCTCCACACTCTTCATGACCTTCTCCTGGTCCTGCATCCATGACTCAAACTCATCACACTCCCGGTAGAACCCAAACAACTGGATCGAGTCCTCAAGGTAACGTCTTCTTGCCTGAAGGAAACAGGGAAGGCACATTTTACAGTATAAGGAATCTCTCTCACTTGTGATATGGAGTATGCATAGGTCTGAAAATGAAAATGGACTTGTATTGCAATTAATAGTTCAATAGGCATGATGGACTGACCTGTGCCAGTTTGACCAGTCTCCTGTAGGTAGCTGAGATGTTCTGTTGTCTCTCCTCCAGGTTGTCCCGGTCAAAGTGCACACTGGTCTGGGCTGATGCTACAGAATGGCAGAAATAGAAAAGACTGAATAGTCTAGAGGAGAAACTATATGAGAACCAGCTACTAGTAGACATCACTATTTCACCAAAAAATTTTCTTTGCCTGCAGGATGGTAACAGAAGCAGTAAAACAAGGCAAACTACATCATTTACTTTGCCAAATGAAATAGATTTAGAGCTTGCATCATAATAGGACTACCATCGACACAGATACATGTTATTAAGAGCTTTACAGATGGGACTTAAGATTGTCATATTCCTCTCTCCATCTTCTTCCTTCTTTTTATCCTGCACCAACCTTTGGAGTAAAGTGGATTTTTCCTCTTCACCAGCTCCTTCCTTGTCTTGACCTCCTTGACCTTGACCTTCTCTGGTACCTTGACCTTTCTCTTGACCTTCTTCTGTACGACCTTGCCCTCCACTTCCTTGACATAGTTGGCAGGTACGTACCCCTCCACTCCATCTGGTCTCTTCACACACCACCAGTCCTTATTGGTCTTACTCGTCAGGACTAAAATCTAATGGATTTTAATCAGAAAAGGTTAGCTAAATATACCTTATACTTGATGTCAACATTTATTACAATGAGTAAAGAAGATAACCGAAAATAGCATTCTTGGTATGCATTACAATTATCTGCTTGAATCAGATCTCTTAAAAGACTGATCTACCTAGCAAATCATTTTAGCAAAATTCTAAGACCAAACAATTGCAAAAACTAATGCATTAATTGGACCTGTTCTTAATTTTGTAAATGTTTGCAACACATATCAAAAGTCAACTAAGAACTGACTGACCTGTCCCCTGTCCACACTCATGCCCTTGCCGCTGTACTTGTACATGGCCTTGACCTGCGGCACCTTCCTGTCCTCCAGGACCTCTCTCACAGCCTCCCTCTCCACCGTCTTCTCCACCTCCACCTCGTACGGCACCTCCACCAGCTCCTCCAGGTACTGGTCCTCCTCCAGGTCACCGTTCATGGAGGGGCTGCTGGTGGACTGGGGAGGAGATAGATACCATATATTACATGTAGTCAACCAGGAGTGTGCAGTGTATTGTCAGACGAGCATTGTACTGACGGTTTCTAAATGTGTTTTAGGACACTTCTACCTCCAAAGTTTTCTTGAAGTACATATCCATCACAAGATTGCTTGAAGTAGACTGAAGATCTGAGGAAGATTCAACCCTGATACAACGGAAGTGTTTTTGCTGAATGCACAGTAAAGTATAAAATGTAATTGCAAAAAGATCATGTATCATGGTGTTTTTTAGCAGTAGTTAAGATTTTTGGACAGTGAGGTTTCCAGGTTCAAAAGTTCTGAGTCTTATTGACAATTCCGTAATGAACAATTACGACAATAGACATACTATTTTGCAACAAAAGGAATAAAATGCAAAGATTGTACAAAACTATTACCAACTAGGGAGAAGTGCTAGATTGCTGTTTACCTGCAGCTGGTTCATTGTCCCAGAGTCGATCATCTGTTGTGCCTGTTCTCCAAGTTTCTGGATGCCGCTCTCATATGCTCTGATCTCTTCTTCTAAGTACCCGTGCCTCTGGAGTAAGGACTGTCATGGGACATAGAATGGCCATTACAGTCTCTGAAAGCCTTTATGTTTTTTTATGACACAAAACAAAAGCTTTAAATTCCCACTACTTGGGGTGATATCTTTTACTGATTATTCATGTTGTTTGTATCCCAGGTGCAATATAATGACTTACCTTTCAAACAGATATGCTGAGAAAGCATTATTCTATCAGTCTATACACTTCATCTAAATGATTTCTATGTAAAATACCATAAATGTGTATACCTGAGCACTCTGTACATCCTTGCCATAGTCCTCACTGCAGACCAGCGGCATCTTCTCTCTCATCCATGACTCTGCCTCATTCCCATCTGTGTAATACTACATGTATGGAGGAAATACATCACCATCAGGACAAATGCATAAAGGGAACATGTAGGTATAATTCAATACTGTCTCCAATTTCTGTTCGCATCTGCAACTATGACTTCAATACATGCTGTCAACATGCCCTCTATTACATCTGTGCCAAAACATGGTCAAAACCAACTTGCATCTGTTAAAATACCCTGCAAAATAAGAGCTCCTTCAAGGAGATACAATACATAGCATCTTCATGTCTCTTGGAATTAAAAGGAGCTACACAAAACAGGATCTTAAAAGTATTAAAAAAGACTAAACGTATTACCTGATGTGCCAGAACGGCCTGCTCCAGCCGGATGCGTCTGGACACTGCCAGGTCCTTAAGCCGGTCCCACTTCTCCTGCAGACCCTTCACTCTGACGCTGATCTCCCCACGGTGGGGGTGTTTGGAGTCACACAGGGCCTGGCCTCGCCCACACACTGCCTCCAACTGGGGGTGCCGAGCTGCCATCTCTGCCTCAAGGGCCTGGAGGAGAGGGTGGAGGGGTTAGAGATACATGCATAAAAAATCATGAGCGTTGAGATTGAATTAAAATAAACGTTACACTTTATCACCTCATCCTTAAAGTGTAAGGGTTAGCAGCTCATGTTTGCAAGTTTTAAAGACATGTTCATGATGACCAACCTTGTGTTTCTGTTGCTGGCTGAGCACGCTGTGCAGGTCCTTCCCTGTCACCACAGACTTGGCAATGCGCTGTTTCTCCATCACCCACCCCTCCTCCTCCTCTGTGTCTCTCAGGAACTCGTAGTGGTTCAGACCGTCCTCCAGCTTGGTTCTCCTGATGCCACTTTTAGTCTTCAACCTGGCAGCAGATAGATGATAGAAAGATGCAGATGGTAATCTTGGTAATATCCCATCAGTCTATCCAAGCTCAGATGAAAGTAATAACCTCCTTATCAATATCCTGTTGCTGTATAAAATGAACATACTTTTCCTACCCCATCAGGTGTACAGAGGAATTTGACACATGTGGACAAGCTGTCTTTCCCACCTGTCATAGTTGGTGTTGACATCCTCTAGCTTCTTCTGGATGGTTGCGCTCTCTGCATGCTGACTGCTGATGAAGCCGTTGCCCTTGATGTTGACCCTGTCCACCCGCTGCCCGAGGGACTTGACGTGAGCCTCCATCAGCTGGTGTTTCTGCAGCAGGTCCTCCACTCCAAACAGGTGCTTCCCATAGTCCTCCGACTGGACCTGGCCCTGTGGGGATGGGGGTGATGTCAGTCTGGTTTATTACCACACCCAGGACACTTCTCAGTAAAAATATGAATTGTGGACAAGTTGTGAAAATTACAGAAACTGTTTTTTTCTATTTGATCACAAGGGTGTTTCAGAACTTTAACAATGTTAGCAATAAATCAGATGTAGACCTATTCCTTACTCCATCGCCATACCTCAATCTCCTTGATCTCAGCCGTGATGCTCTCCATCTCTCTGAACATGTCCATCAGGTCCTTGAAGTTGGCCAGTGTCTGACCCCGCCTCTCCACCAGCTGGAGCAGATGTGACCATCTCTGTACTATCGAGTCTTCTCTGCAGGGGAAAGATAGAGTTGGAAGGTTGTGAAATGTGGGGAAAATGTTCATTTACATACATACATAACATGTTCAAGAATTTTTTTCTTTAAGGAGACAGGCCAAAATAACTACATGGTACAACTTCTATACAATCAATTTTTTGTGGCCTTTGAATTGATTATGGTGTTGACAATAATATGTCTTAAATCTGCATATGATGACATTTGTGATATGTGTAGCCTCAGACATACCTTCCCTTGACTTCTTCCTTCCTATGATAGTTTTCTTGCCACAGTTCATTAGCCATCTGAGACAGCATGGTGAATCTTTCTTTCTGTAAAGAAAAAACAACCATACTATGAAAAGTTTGCTATCACTGCTGAAACTATTGGGCTGTGTGCTTCTTATATACGATGGCTATTGAAAAAATCCTGTTGAACCACCCTACATCCAGATTAGAATTCATGTCTTTTTCATAATTACTTTTAGACTAAGATATACTGACAAGCTACAGTCATAAAAGCCCAATGAATTTTGTAACTTTTTAATGTTTAACTTGGTTAAGCAATCCTGTTAACTAATGAATACACAAACAGGAAATCATCTTGACATCCTTTGTTGTTAGACTGAGGTGACAATCTGAGTGTTCTCACCCTGGGCAGGAGATCTGCACTGATGGCTTCATGTTTCTTGATGGCTGCTTCCACGGAAGCTGAGTCCTTCACTACAAAGTACCTCTCATCTAGAACACGGTCCATGTCCTTCACATACGTTTCTCTTAACAACGCCTGCATGAAGATGGTAGGGAAAACAGTAAGTGCCTAAATTAAGTACAGGTTGACAAGAGTAAGTAAAGGAAATATGGCTTTGAGAATGAAATCTCAAGCTAGATGTTAGATACCATGGAAATGACAACTCTTACCTTTCTTTCAAACTTTTCTGCAAGTTGTTGTAGCCTTTCTTGTCTAAGAAGATGAAGAAACAATATGAGAATATGTTTTCTTACTGAAGGTTTATAATGTCATACCTGAATGCATTTAGAAAAACATCCACACATATACATATGACTGATTTAGTCTTGTTACCTGCTGGTTTCCTCACGTAGTGCAATCTCCCGGGCATGTTCTGATGACTCTAGCTGCTGCCATGCCTGGTATGAGAAAAAAGGGGTTTACTGATTAAACCAAGAAGACAGCAAAATCTAAAGTATGGTAAAGGGGAAATGTAAGTTAAGCATTGACATCAATTTGTTATAGTTTACTTACTTTTTCCACATCATTTAGCATCCTGCCCTCTGGTGGGACATATGGTCTCTGGTTGTTTGCTCTCAATTTTGTCTGGATGTCAAAGAACTGGGCTTCTATCAGTCCTCTTTCATTGTACCTGGGTATCAAACATAAAGGACAAAATATGTTGAGACTTAGATGTAGTTTTAAAGCTTTATCATCCATTATGCTATTAAACGTTAAGGTTTTGAGGAGTCTTTTTATTTCAAAAAGTGTTTAAGTACAAAGAAACTATAAAGAACTGATCACTGAACTGTGACTTACTTGGGTGGTTTCTCAATAGTTCTGTACTGTTTAAACTTGGTGGTTTCCCTCTGCACACCCTCTAGTGTGTTGGGGAACTGTCTGCTGTCCAGCTGCTCCTGTTTCTCACTGATCCACTCTAACAAAGCCTCCACCATCCTCTCATAGTCTGTCTTCATACGGTCAATCTCAATCTGGAAGTCCATGATCTGAAATCACACCACACAGAATTACTTCATCTGAATACATCTGTTTCTTTTGGGCAGGGTAGCTCCTTTGGTCTTATACATGATGCATGAAATAGCAATAACCAACAGGTATGGATGCCTGGTCCATGTACAGCATTCATGGAGTGAATTGTGATCCTGTCCTTGGTGCTGAAATAGTGATTATCAACCCCCAGACTTACCAATTGGGTCTAACAAAACCAATGTCTTCTATTGCATGGAAAGTTGTTATACAGTAGCAATTTGAATAAATCCTGATTAACACAACCTTGTACCAGCTATCTTGTTTTGTGGCTGTAGATGAAAGATTTTTATGCTCTGGATGTCACATGAGCCAGCATCATGACTGTATTCATCAGAAGTCAGACACCCAACATCAGAGAATGCCTTATCATTATGGTTATTAAGTGGACTGTGAAATTAAGAAAGACTAGTAAAAGAGGCTGTGAATTCTCAGAGAGTGGTAGCAAAGCCTACCAAAGACATTCAGCATTAATATTCAGTCATTGTATTCCAAAGACGGAAGTAGCACTGATATTATAATTCAATGGAGACCAGTGCAGAAATTGATTTTTAAGAACATCTCCGAAGCCAGCAAGATAAGCATTCAGAAAAATGACGAACATCCATCAAGCCTGGAGGTCATTTCCCCTCCATTACTCTCCCACACTAATGCCATCTTTATATCTGTTGGTCAACAACCCATTAAAGTAAGCCAGGATGGCTGCTGCATTTAGTTGACCTACATTCTATCTGGTCATATCTGATGGATGGGCTACAAGGACGTGGGAAAGAAGGAAGACGCTTTGAGGTCATTCAGAACTGGGTCACAAGTTTTACTTCTTGGTACATGTACAAACGGCCTTAACCTATTCTAATGAAAACAAGTGTATTCCTTTTTTCCTCTCCACAAACTGATTGGATGTTTCTACAAAATTGATGAGTTTTGCTGAGTTCAATAGAATGAACATGAAAGAACTGGGCACCAACATGAATCTGCACTTTACACAGCGAATAGACCAAAGCAGAAGAGACAAGCCTCTTTCATTTATCATGATGTCAAGGTCAATTTTTCAGAAGGTCAATTGTTTTTTGAAGAAATACAATTTGTGGGGAGGACAATACAAAACCTTATCACCTTATTACATAGTCTGTGTCTAAAAACATTCAGCACAGTGATCACTTAAGATGGTAGTGCCTAATGATGAAGTGGATTCCATTCAACCATCATTTGAAAAAGTGTACATGAAATTGCCTTGGCTGGATTTAATCTAGTTTTTGGCTGCAAACACATCTTGGCAATCTGTGCACAGGAAACAAATTGAAATCCTCCAATCTGAGGTCATTACGAGTGTATTGAAGTAAGTTTTGACTGTGGCCTTAGTTAGGGATCATTATAATCTTGCTAGTACTGACATATGAGCAGCTACAGTAAGGATGTACTGCGACTCATTTACTATGTGTGATTATAAAGGTATGAATAAGCCATGTGTCCCGCCAGAAGAAATTGGTACAATCAACTGCAGGGGTTAAGTCAAGTCATTACAGTACTATTAAAGCTACTGTTACAATCACTAACATCTGCCGATCCACACTGAAGAATATGATCAATTACATTTAACATGTCAATACCAATCTGACAAGTTGAAAATGTCGTTACTGGTATGCCATCTAACAAGTTTACGATAAACCACATTTTATCATCAATAAGAAGACAAATGATTGTGACAATATTTTCAGTACAATATGAGAGGTAAAATTAGCTTTGTTGAGGTTGATTACTTTGATGGCACCTCATTACTTAAATAGGTATGCACTTTATATTCTGCTGACTTCCAGTTCCGTGAAATTGCTTTTTTTCTATAACAGGTGCAATATAATAAGTGCAAGGCAAATTAGTTTGACCCCTCCCCCCTTAGAGGGCAGTCCTTCTTGACACTACCTTTAATCACTTGCCTCCAGACATGTACAAAATGAATAATGTTGGAGACTGTGTACATGTGACATTGACTGATGCTGTTACCAAAAAAATATTGATTATTTTCTTTATGACAGAAAGACACAAACATTATTTCATTTATCACAGAGAGCAACATCTCAACGTGGCAGTTCTACTACTGTATTCCCACAGCATGCCCTTTTAGTTTCAGGTCTTAACCTCCAATGTAAGTTACATCTTTGTACTAGTTTCCTTACCTCCACCAAGGATTTAGTTGTGTTTTGGCTTATGGCTGTGTTTATGAATTGGAAAACTCAAGAAGTTGACAACATACCTTAGCTATTCTCTTGCTCCCTGTCTGTTCACTCTTCATCTTGGCAAAGTAGTGGTAATATGCAGCCACATACGTCATGATGGACTTCTCATCTGGCTTGGCAATGTCTACATCTGGAAGGAAACAGAGCAATCAGTCTACAAAGCAATGTCAATGCCTTTTCATGTGCAGCCAACTATGTGAACTTGCAGCACTGTAAGTTTTGGTGAAATGTCTGTTGCCTCGGATGTGTGTATCATTTCATGCATTGCCACGCTGCAGTTTCAATATCTTACAACTATTCATGATAAACAGATGTCAAATGATATACTGCATGGGGCTATGAGTTTGTCTATGGCTTCTAGAACTTTGTAGAGAAGATGGGAATGTAATTTGTTAAAACATTTATAGCACATATGAGTCAAGATATGCCAGATGGTAAAGTTCCACTCCAGTTTCACGGTAGGGTAACAAACTTCTGAAAGTTTAATTTCAATTTACGTACTGCAATTTGTGATCATGTGGACAATTTGCAGCTGGCATATATGACTGTAACTTTTTCTTATTGTTAAGTTTCAATGGTACAAATAGTTGTAGGTTTTAAAAAATGTGACTTTTCACTACTAATGTCACTGACACAGCATTCAAAAGATTTATAATGAAAGAAGCTGCTAAAAGACTATTAAATAAGTATAAATTCCAATATAGTTCAAAGAAAAGCTTAGTAATACTTAAAATGTTAAAATTGACTAATAGGCAAAACACAATTTTTACATAAAAGACAAATTGATATTACGTGGCTGTTTATATACAACTTTAGGGTTCATTTTACCTCTTCCAATAAGTTGAAGAATATAATAACAAAGCAATCATCTACACAATGTTTTTACCTTCTGCATCCAGCAGGCGTGAGATGCCCAGTCTCTCCTGGGCCACGCTGAAGGCATTGTTCAGGTTGTGGATGTGCTCCGAGGGATTCAGTCTGTCATAGTTGATCAAGTCTGGTCTGGAGAATAAGGCAAGTATTGAGACATTGTCAGCAAAACTTGGTCAATACCTACTGCACTTCCAGTTTGATCCATGGCAGCTAACATGCTACAGTACCATTTTGACTGTGCCTAAAATCTATAATTTCAACAAAATATTCAGTGATTCTCTATGATTTATGCTCACAAACCTATATGAGAGGTCATACATAAATCTCATCTATAGTTTTTTCCTTAATTTCAGTTATTAACTGTTTCAAACAATAGAAATTTAGCCCATTAACTCTGTGGAAGTGTCCCCCACACCAGCTTGGCACTTTAACAAGTCCATAAATTTCTCCAGCACCTGGTCAATGGCCATAACGTTCTATACAACACCCTATCACATGGTAAATGGGCCCAATTTTCTGGGTCCTGTCTTCCAAAACTGGAGCAAGGCAACTAAAATTTATGACACTTGGAACGATGCCGCAGGTACTCATTTAGATGCTGCTATCGATATCAGTATTCATGCCAAATTTAAGAAATTTTTAGTAATCTGTAATTTAGTTGTTTGTTCTACATAACAATGCTGGGCACTGAAGTTTGACACTGGCTCAAAGATACTGACTGCTACATGGACACCATTTGTATCAGAAATATATACCAGTACTTTGGTGTAATATGCAAGACACTTATAGTTACAACTGCTATCAAGATCAATTCAACAAAATCATATTCAAAGCAAATAGATCTACCCGCATGATAATTTCATATCAATTATTCCTCTTGACTAAACCCTGTAACTGTATCAACTGGGGGGTCATAGTGTGACAATGGCATTACTGTATGCACACTGTATGTATACCTTTTGATACACCAAACCAATACCTAGAAACAACAATATGTTATACTTTTGCATTACAGCTGTGTATACAAGCTAAGTGCCATTATTCTCAAGCCCCCAAAGATAACACACCCAATTGGCCTACTCTGAGTTTCCTAGTACATAAAATGGCAAAATACACATAAAAACATGCCCCTAAATTCTGGCTCCTACCCTTGGGACACATCTGTGCAGTTGGAATGGTGGCATTTCCATAACATAACAGCTTGCCTGGGGCTATTTCCCCACATTATATACATCCTTTGTAAACGCTATTCAGCAATGTCAATTGCTTCAAAGTCAAACCACTCTGTGTAAACCACTCACTGTAAGTGCACATTGTGCAAATGAGATAAAAATATCAAACTGATTCACACAACACTCTAGGATGGGAAAATGTAAGGATTGAAGTACTGACTTCCAGTTCGATTTTTATCAAAACAAAACAACCCATGTGTTGGTTTGAGTATCACAGATGATGGTGGGACAGACCTACTAACGTATGCACTCCACGTGGTAAGTATCTAATGGTAAAATGAGACCAAAACAGTGCAAAACTAAGACAAAAGCCTTATAAGTTTCTTACCTGTGTGCATGTATGAGGGCATTGAACGCCAGTCCATTGCTCCAGCTTGTGGTGAAGTTGTCCACCTTACAGCTCCGGTACCTGCAAAAATGCAAATCAAGACATTTATATATGATGATACATTACATGGACACTTCAACAAAGCATTATCTGTATCACTGTTGATCCATGCTATCCATGGAATCATCTGTGACTGAAAGTAGGGGAAGGTTCATTTGCATAAACCTTGCACCTGCACCCTACAAAAAGTGTCAATTTTCTTGACTTAGATGTACATCACAAGTAGTACAATCACAATAACATAAAGGCAGGCTGAAAATGACAAATATACAAGACACATACAAACTTGAAATGCTCCTTATCCTCTCCTGAGCAAAGAACAGGATGATATTGTTCAATGGTACATTTCATTTTGATGACCCAGGAGAAAACACTTTCCTTTTGGGATTATTGTGCCACCAGCACTGGGACTGCATGTAGCACCAGGCAGCTCATTACTATTCCTCTTGTCCCATTGTTAACACAATGTCACATTTTGTTCAAGACCACATTTGTCATGACGTGCCACTGCCGGGAAACTTAATTTCACCATTGACAGATTGTTTGTACAAGGAATGAAATGAAATTATTGTGTCTCCTGTCATAATAAAAGTTGTGTGTTTTGATTTGATCCAGATATTCCCGAGAGTCTAGCTGTGTTTGTGTGAGTTATGTTGCTTACCCTGCAGTTTTCCTCTGGCACCAGATCAGCAGAGCTTCCTTAGCAGACCTCTTCTCATTGCTTTCTTCTTCCTGAGGACAAAATGGCAAACATTATTAGCTTTTTGTACAATGATCGATATGATACATCGAGAAGAACTACAAGAATGGGCATGAGCAAAAGAAGAATATTATTTCATATTTTTCTCTGTCCTTCTTCTAGTGTATTTTAGTATGCTTTGCCACTTGGAAATCTGAAATGATTGCATTGGAAATCATTGTTTACTTCCATATTGTAACTGATGATATTAGAAAATTATATAGAAAATGGAGATGTGGCATTAGTAGACAGCACAAGTAGTTGTACCCCTAAACAGTAAACATAAGATTAGGTGACAAGACAGTAAAGAAAACGTGACACAAGCTTTCACCAGTCTTTGAATGTACCTAAAGTTCTACCAAAATCCTTTGTTCTTGCCATCAGACTTCATAAATGCATGAGCTCGCATGATTCATGTTAAATCAATTATCTTGTTGGGTACCTAAGCAACACTGGTAATGACACACTTGTCTGGGCACATAATTGAACTGATGGCAAGTGGTCATATCAGTGTTCTCAATGATATCATCACACCTGTAGTGTCTGATACATACAAAATATTGACATATTGTTTCCTTTGTAATATCACAGGCAAAAACAGCAAATTTTGAAGACAGTAAAGTAAATTTGATGGTATATTGACTATATATTATGACTTCATTTGTCCCTCTTATTATGAGCAGTGGAATAGCACCCTACATACCATGACTGGACAGACATACAGTGCAATAATCATTTTTCAATATGCCGTAACAAGAAAGAGATACACATGTAGCTAGCTAGCTGTTTTATGTGGTTGCTATTATTACTATTAGTTGCATTACCTTCTTGAAATTAATTTTTGGGGCTATTTGTGAGAATGATCTATACCATTAATTTCTGGAATAATAGAAAGCCAATCATGCAAAACTGCAGGAACTTGAATAACCTAATATACAGCATGTACACTCAAGTGATATGGATAAAGTAAAATGCGATGTTGACCTTTAGGATATGGCAGAGAAACCCTTACCTCGAGCTTGATATCCTGAATCTGGAAGCGAAGAATGATGGTCCAGATCAGGCCCAGGGTAAGTCTTGGGTTGCCATCAACAATGTCTTCTGCTCCAATGCTTTCCAGTTTAACCTGTGTAAGGTTCCAAATACTTTCTCAGCCACGATTGCACATTGAACAACCTGTTCAAAAATTCTGGCTGCCCAGTGTTACTTGTGGCTACTACTTACTAATATATACTCACTCACTCACTCACTCACTCATATATAAGATAACTAAATATACTAATACATTTCATATCTGGTTTCTGATGATTTCATATGCCATATACAATGACCATATTAAAGAATTTGAAGAATAAGACTGTTGGATGCTCTGATATCAGTAAAAGATGCCTCATATAGAATATGATTGTCCAAAGAGGCTATGCAGCCTTTATTTCAAACACTGCAATGCTTCCAATCAATTGACCCTGTACAAATCAGATTTCCTCTATGATAAATCTACACAGACAGACAAGTGACCCACTAGTAATGGAATTTTGGATGACCAAGGACGTACAATGACACATGGAATAACTAACACAACCATACTGCCATATGTAACAGAAGTGCTGGAATCTTAAAATAGGGAATTTTCTTTCAATAAAACTATAGTGTATCATGTAAGAATTGGACTTGAGAAAGAAACAAAAAGGCCTAATAAAAATTTCAAGAATCTGCCACTGTTATATAAACAATAGGTTATATACTTTGTACCTTGTACATTGTTGCGTAATAAAAGTCAATATAATTATAGTATTAATACAGAACAGCTGTAATGGCAGCAAAGTAAAATGACTATTGAAAGTTGAAAGTGTATGGCAGGTTAATTGTAAAGATAGAAGAAAACAATGTCTGCATCACATACATATATTAACCAATTCTCAGAACAGATTTGGCAATTGCAGCCTACAGGTAACATTAGTCACAATCATTTTAAGTCAGGTAGGATCAATTTACAAACCAACCTTGCCACATCTGGACCAGGCTGGAACATACATGTACCAAGTGTACAATTTCCCATGGTGCTAGATTGTCACAACAACACCAGTAATTGATAGCATGGAAATAGAGCAGCTCTGGCCCTGGTGCTGAATCACCAAGCGTGGTTAAATTACAGCTACAGAGCATGTGGTAACATTACAGGATCACAGTAGGCTACCACTGCCCCACAGGACCACTCAGAAAGCCTCTAAGAATACTAATCATCTGTACCCAGCACTATTTCAATAGTCTCCGATATGTAGTGAGAAGATCTCTTTCACAGTGTATAAAACACAGAGTGGTTGATTTTTGCCTTTTAAGGAAAGATATCACTGAAGTATCAGGTATGATTCACCCAGCAGAAAGAGCTAAGCAGAGATTTAAACCACCATGAGTCATAGAACAGAAGCGGTGATAAAACCACAGCAGAATACATAAACAGCCAGCCAAAATCATGCTGATCAGCTGTGACCATGGTTATTGATTGTCCCCCAGTACATGCCCATATTTGGAATGCTATAGGTACCACCATATTTGGCAGAATGATACCATCATGTGAATCTCAGCAGACCCTGGTAATCTTTTCTCTTCAATTCTACCACTTGTGCTGTTAGCAATGACAATTACTGTCATTAACAGTTCTCGTTACTCTGATAAAACAACCAAATTTAGTACGGTAGCATGTCCCAAATTATGCATGAGGCAATTTTAAACATCCAGTTTGTTTCAGTAACGGCAAAATGGTAAGCACGTTGAATGATGCTTTCATGCAGTATTAAGCATGTATGGGAACATAATGTACTCTTGAGCGGTATGGTGAAATCTGTCAAGTGCTGTATCTATTGAGAAAAGCCAGGAGTCTGGTTTGCCAGCAGATATTTAGAACAATTGAGGGAATGGATGTGTTAAGTTATCTAAAAACTAATCTCTAGAGCCTGTTTCATGTAATAAGTTACCAGACTAACATATTCCTCAAAATGCAGTCTGTAACAGTAATAGAGTTTTTAAAAATTACACCCAGCCAAGATCCCAGCAACTAATCTGGCTTTCTTGACTCACCCTCTTGTCCTTGAGGAACTTGAGCGCCTTGTTGACGTTCTCGATCTTGTGGACCCTGAGACGTCCCCTGCTGGCGCGCGGCAGACGTTCGTTGGAGATGATCTCCAGCAGCTGCAGGAGGAGGACCCCGTCCTGAAGGTCCTTAAACAGCTCACCCACAGCCACACTGTTCTGTGGACAGAGGGAAAACATTCAGCACTGAATCTACCCTCGCTTTGGACAAGCCCTTATCATGTGCTTATAGCAGCAATGTAACTATGCAACATTTTTGGGGAAAAAACTTTGTACTTTGTGAATAACAATCAATAATTGAAGGATATAATGTTTCAATCAATTCTACAGTAAATTTGTACTTTTTGTACTTTTACTCTTTTTTGAGTACCTTTGCCTATCTTAGACAACTTTGGGAAGGAAAAAAGGAGAAACTAAACAAAACCTCTGCGCATCCTTGTATTAAAGCTGACAGGTGACAAATTGAAAAAGTAAACTCACCTATTCACAAATGTGGTAACTTACATTAATTCTTTACTATAAACAAATAAGAAAATGACCAGTGATAACTAACCTTCTCCAGGAAGGAGTTCATCCACTTGGTGAAGGTTTTCTGCTGGATGTGGATCCTCTCCTGCTGGAGTGCCTGGATACGCCCCTTCTCAAACTGACTTACTCCGTCCATCCTCTCTACCCTGGGAAACAAAGAGTAGGATGTTGAGATTTACTCATACAGGCTGTCTGTTTCTCTCTCTCCTGTAGAACAACAATGAATTCCTTTCAGAGCTCTCATTGAAGATTTACATTAAAAACAATTTCTTCATTTCAGCCAAACCGTGGTTAGTACTAATAGGCTTTGTGTTCACAGATTACCTGGCTGGCACTCCTTTCTCCTAGTCATAGTCACCCATTCATGAAACAACCTAGCTAGTTAGATCAATTTCCAGTGAAGTTTTCTTTGCTGAAAGGAATGTGCAAGGTCACTACACTACACCCTTAATATTCAAACACATAATTTTCCACCTTAATATTCAAACACAATATTCTTGACATTAGTCAAGTATGAAATTCAAGATAATCTTTAAAACAGCAATATAGCATTTATGACCAGGTAGGGGCTTTTTATTACCTACATGTTCTCAGAATAACACCTTTATCAATAATCCATCAGAGTTTTAAGGGGATATATCGCAGAGAATGGCCCAAGTTACTTCAATCCAGGCAAATTGCCAAATAGCCATTTTATGACATAATGAAGCAGTGCATGTAGCCTTTCTGCTCATTTAGGTCCATCCAACCATAGAAGTAAATCATAGCAGTGACTGAAGAAAAGAAAAATCTATAAAGATATAAATCAATATGAAATCTAGAATAATAAGCCAAGGTAGGAAGAGACTCTTCTCACAAAGTTTGTCACCTGTTCTAAAGCCTGTAGACTTCTTCATCGGATGATTGGCACATTATGATTTTATAATACTGAAAACCTACAATGCAGTCCTCCTTTCCCCTCCCACTAAAACCTCTTGATCATAGGTGCTAATGTAGGCCCAAATGCAAGCTTTTAGTACAACTGGACGAGTGGAAGACATATTTGGCACAGCTACCCATACGAGCCTGACATCGTGCTCTTAATGTTTGGTAAGATGCACTTAAGATGAAGATGACACGTTAGTCTAATGTACAGAAGAGTCACAAATTGGCTCTTGACTTTGCCAGGCCCTAGTAAACCCAAGCATAACTGTTAGGCAAGGACACTTATGGCAAAAATTGCATATGCATGCATAATTGAAGACTGTTCCAAGTTTAAAAGAGTCTGAGTGACTTTTAGTCCAAAAATAGAAGATGTTTTCACCAAAATTTAGAAACAAAGATACTATGCTAGAACAGCAATAAAAAATGTAATCATTTGGGAATTCATTTTGACACTTGTTTTCTTACAAAATCCAAAAGGTTGCTGAACACATTCAAAGAAAAAAAATTATGCTGGCACGTTGAATGTTAATGGCACTATTTGGGCTAAAGGCACATTGAACTGTTTGTAATAGGTGCTTACTACTCCAAACTTTTTCCAACCTACAATATTTGGACCACCACAACCTAAAGTACAATATTTTAACATACCAAATAGAAATGGCACATCCAGTTTGAAGATTAAAGCTGAAAAAAGCTGGAGCCATACATACAGACTTTGTCGCTTCAGCACACTCCAGCATAGGAGAAACATACACATCTCTACAATTCAAACTCTGTTTGACACAAATCACAGAATGGAAGCCCTTTATATGGCATGTCCAGTTGGAAGACCACAGCTGAAGAAAGCTGAATCCAAACACACAGGTCTGGTCCAGTTGCTTCAGCTAGGCCGCCATTAGGACCTAGCGATCAAGAGGTTTTGGGCGCAGATTGGGGACTGTGGCCAGGTTGGGGCTGACAGTCCCCAGTCTGCAAGGTTTCCAGCTCTTCCTACCCTCTTTATATCCACTCCTGCTTGTTGTGACTCATGTAGGCTGCTCTCCATAAACACAAGTGCTGTACCCATAAAAGGTTACAGGTGATTATACCGAGATGGTGACACATCTGATGATTCAGACCTGGTAATGAGGGAAAGCAAGAAAACAACTCCATCCAGGTTCAGCATTGGTTAGTCACAGCATGTCCGAGGTATTGGATGGGTATAGACTGCAGTCCTTATATGGTTAAAAACTAGCAGGGTATCTATGATGACTTTCCAATGCTCTACAACAAAGGTGAGGAGATTATTTACCAGGGAGAATTTGCTACCTGGTATTTTCTCTGGCATTTGCTGGTTGGTTGCTGTTTTGAATACGATTACAAACAGTTAGCAAGATCATTTTCCCTTATGAGATAAGGTATAAGTTATATAACAGCTGAGGATGATCCCCTGGCGGCTTCCTTTCAAAGTTCAAACTGCAGGTTTAACACCTAGAGCTAAAACTGCTTCCCATTTAGACTGGGTGCAACTGAGTAATAAAGTTCTCAACACAATTGTAGGGACAAATGTAATCATTTCAATATAGAAAAAAACATTAAATGTACCTAATTTGTACTGTCGATAAAACATTCTACATGTATTATATGAAATTCAATGTGCTCTAGTTTACTATAGATATACATCTGTGATTCTATGTTATTACACCAATAAAAGCTTCTTATCTCTTTGGGAAGTCCAAAGTATTGTTTGACGTCAGCTCTCATGTGCATATTATGCAAATATGCTTATCATGTACTAGTAGCTGAACTGTATCATAACATAGATACAGGTTTAACCATGGTATGGTACTGTTCATGGTCAACTGAATATTCTAATGGGCAAAAACATGAAGAACATATTTGCTTTTAGTTTTACCCACAACAAATGTCATCATTTAAGACTATTCTGTTAAATGCATTCACATACAGTTATGCAAAAGACTTTCAATTAAAAATCATATGTACTAGTGAGATATAATGGTAAGAAAAATTACAGATTCTTGAAAATATCAAGGACATTATATAATGTCCTTGAAAATATCAATCTTTGTACATGTATAGCAACGACTGTAGATTTTGTAAAAATTAGCATTTGGAGTAGAACATGTAATAATTATCAAACTACACAATTATAACATATTGGGGAGGAATATTTCCATCAATGAAATATGGTTCTTTTGCCATAACTTATACAGTATTTTAGTATATAATGAAAAATCTTCCTACTTTATGCAAACAAGGATAACAAAAAGAACAAGGCTGAGGCAATAAAAATCATTGCCAAGGCGACGACTGAATGATATATATTATTTCATGTGGTGGAGCTAGCAATCTACATTACAATTATCAGAAAAACATATTTCCCTATGTTATAAAGACATGCACGTAGTGAAATTTACAGGATGGGTGGAGGAGATGTGGGGCAATATACCAAATACACGTATAGGAGGAATCAGCTGTTCTTCCCCAGCAATATAAGATTTTATGATGACATACTTACTTACTTTACTTTGGTCGAGTTCCCGCTAGAACCAAACTGAAAACCATCCTCCACATTACTCTATCCTCCACCAGAGACTGGATTTTATGTCTGGTCTGAAGTTGTTACTCCTTTGACTTTTTACCTTTTGTGGGTTCCAAAAGGACGGATAATTTCTTTTCTCTCTGTGACCTGTTTGAATATGGTCTTTGGCCAAAGACAGCTGTGCTCTCTGTCCATGGTGTGGAGAGAAGACGGATGACCACTAATTAATCATGCCAGGCATCTGGATGGGTGGCACGTGGAGACCCGGTGTAAGTTACCTGCTTGATGCAAAAACCACATGGCCGAAGGTTTCCTCCAAACCAATTCCCTGGGGAACGCATTCGTGTAATTTTTGAAATTCTTTCAAAGCGATCGTAGTACTTACACAAATGCCTCCGCCCCAAAGGCGTCGCCAAAAACAGAGCTAACCCTTATCTAAAATGCATGCGGCCCAGATGCTGACATTTTTCAAAACTACATGTATACCTTCATCAATCACTTTATTGTATATTCAACATTCATTTCCTAGCCTTAAAAGGAGATCACTTCAAATGGAAGGTGGTATTTTGTGGCATCTCTGGGGACTTCACCCCATATATCTCCATCAAATCTGGGACAAGCAAACAATTGCCACCTACTACACATAAAATTTGGTTATGAATGTTAAGTAGAGTCGTACTGTATGCACCAACTGACATGGCAACTACACAGCACAGCCAACGTCACAGAATTTTTACATTTTTACTAAGAGATAATCCTTCAAATGTTTATCTGAATCTTGGGCACCAGTAGCATATAAATTACTATGTAATGGTACTCAAAGTAAAACACAAGATTGATTTTGTACGTTACAAATCAATGGACTGAGCCATAAAAACATGTGACCCAAGCTGAATACGGTAGGTACAATTCACAAGCAAACATGGAGCTCCCTACTGAAGTCTAACCACCTTCAGAAGTCAATTGTTATATCAAATACATGTACTGCCCATATCTTGCTAAAAGGGTAAAAATACAACTAATGAAGATGTATTTAAAATACTTAATGGTATTACTAAATTCTTTCGTAAGATACCTATTAGTAATCAAACTTTCAAAGGCGTGATATTGCATTAAATATCTGAGGTTGAAAAAACATTGCCTTCCATGCTCATTGTATAATTTTGGACAACACCAGAATTTACTGATTGTTAGAAAAAGCATGTGCTATTTTTATGACAAAAAAATCCCTATAAAATAACACAAATTGAGCTATCTCTCTAAAATTGATTCCTGTAATTCATAGGACATGAACTGCTCCATTCTATTACAGACATATTTGTCTACTTGGCAGCCTCTGTGCTTTGTATGCCTAGTCAGAGGGATTTGGGGATAACTTCCCTGTCCTTGGTGCTGAAGAACAAAAGCCCCATTGGTATTACAATGGTATGTGAAAACACATCAGAACATAAAATATTCAACAAAGCTTACAAATTCTGAACTACAATACTATCAGCGCTGTCACGTCATAGGCAAAAGTAAGGCTCAACCATCTTTATTCTTTTGATCTACAGGTCAACCTTTACAATACATTTAAAGAAAGGATATATCTCATTTAAAAAGAATGTTAAACACTATAGATATAAAAAAATTCTGATACCTTGAGTCGTCTGGAAGAGAATATTCTGTTACCATTTTTAT